CTCCCCGCTTTCCTTCCTTCCTTCCTTCTTTCCTTCCTTCCTTCTTTCTTCCTCCGTTCCTTCCCCGGAGGGACAAAAAAAAAGGCCACAAAAAAACACAAAAGATAGGGTCCCCCCAACGTCCCTCACAACACTTGCCTGCCATCCGGCCGTCAGCAACACCAAATTCTTCCAAGCCTCGAAGTCTCGAAGGAGTCAGCCCCAGAAAGCAGCATCAGAATGATGGAAGACATGTGTGGAACTGCAGTCTGGTTTGCGGGTTTGCCCATTGCGATACAAATTTCAAGTGCCATCAAGCTTGCGCACATGACGACGGAGCGGACACAACACAAGCCCGATCATGTGGTGCAGGATGCAGCGTGCTGCAGTACAATGTCTTGCTTGCCAGGGGCTGGGGCAAGGAACTGCAGGGATCCTACAAAAGCATGGCATGCGGATTGCACCAGGTCCACCAGGCCTTCCGGGAAGTCATAGGCCCGGCACAGTGCACGAACTTACTGCTGCAAGAAAACATCAAATATCCATGAGGCTCCTCGGCATGCTGAGGGGCTAGATGCATGTGCCCGCTGCTTGACAGAGCAAGTTACGTGCCCGAAACTTTGCGGAACAATTTTCGCAAAACGGGCTCTCAATGCATGGATTGCGCACACCATCTGGCAATATTCGACTTGACGGAACCACTCTTACGATTCCCGCACCAAGCCATGCAAGCGTTGCTGAGAAGCTTTTTTGCGTTGGCAGTGCTGGCACGAGAAACCTGCTACACGCTCCTGGCCGTTTCGCCCGGAACAGCAGTTCTCGCTGCCCATCAGTCTCCGTACTTCTGGCGGTACCTGAAACTGATCTGCATGCAAAGCAGAAGCACAGAGCCTGCGCGGTTCTAGCGCAGCCCATCACGAGAGCCGAAAACATGCAAAAACCAGCTCTGCTTTCGCGTTCTTCTGCTACAAAGACACAGATCTTGCAAGCACACTTCGCCAACATCGCATCTCTTTCACGACCAAGTCGATCAAATTCCTGCCAATGGACCACTTGCAGGGACTCCATCAAATTCTGTTACACCGATCATCTTGAAGACAGCACGCGCTGTGGCAAAGAAGAATCCATCTTTCCAGCGACACACCGTGCGAACTCTTCTCAAACTTCTTTACAGCGCATCTCAAGCACAGCTGGAGGGAAACAATGGAAAAGGCTGGCAGCTGCAGCTGCAGTCACCCACGCTCTTCCCCTGTAAGCGGACGTTGGATTGGGACCTCTAGTGCACGTAGTGCAGCCAAGGCGTTCTCCTGCTTCCGTCTCACCTGACATCTGAGCAGCATGACTCAGAACTGCAGTTTGCTCAGAAAAAGCCGCAGACTTCCACATAGTCAATCGAGCCCCGCGATGCGAAGCAGCAAAACCTTCTTTCCGGATTGGCGTTTAGAGTGTCATGAGCAAGAAAGCTGACTTGCTCTGCTTCAATCGGCTTCGCTGGAATCCAGCTTGTCGCCACAAATGCGTAAAAACCGTTGTTATTCAGTTTCGACGGTGGGCTCCTCAGGTACCGTCGCAGACACCCCATCTTCGGCTCAGAACACAGCAGCTGCGCCTCTGGATCATCATCCTGCCAGATCACATTCCGACGAAAACTAGCGCCTGTCCCCAAGGACACATCGAAAATGAGAGATAACCGGGATGTTGGCCGAACCCATAACACATGACAGGCGGATGAGCTACCATTGACAAGAAACATTTTGCAAGAACACAGCTCTCAGATAAGGTCAAAGACTTAATTGAACAAGTGCAACAAAAGCGCCTCAAACTGTCAAAAACCAGTCGTATTGTTATTGAAACTGCAATTTCGTTTAGATCAGAGAACAAGATACCATGGACTCCAGGCATGCACATATCTCGACGTTTTCCTGTCACAGCAACAACATGCTGTACACGATCTCACCAATCAACAGCACACGGGTCATGAGTTTTGCTACTTGCATTTTTGACATCCACATCAGTCTCCCAAAGCTCACATGAAGGCGGCAGCCTCCTCAGCAGCATCCTTGGCTGGAATAATGCCGCATCAGCCCTGGTTCCAAGCAATCGACTCCTTCACCCACTTGTCTACGGCGTCTAGCTTGTTTTGCACTTCCGCGTGACTCGCACGGTGACTGAGGGAGTTTCAATGTGGACGCAGTGAACCCCCACCCCGCACACCATGCACCCCACTCCGGACGAGCACTGTGAGCAAACCCTGCGAACCCATACGAGCATCGATTAGAACCAAAGGATGCATTACTCTCAAAGTTTCATATGACAGATCTCAAACAGCCGACAATTTCAACCGTACGACTGGCACTGCACTCACTGAGCCTCGACACTACGCTGACACACAAAGTAAGCAGTGCTAGTGCTTCCAAGTGTCAGTGAGGCCATCCAGATTGGCAGGTTTTGCAGCTAACTCTGGCCTGGGCACTGGTGCACTTGCAGTCCAACCGCTGCAAAAACATTGCGGAGTCTCCAACACGGCAAATGCAGCCCGATGCAAGCTGCCCTTCAACATCTGGACGCATACAGTGAGACGAAGCAGGGCTGAGGTGCTGGCTCCTTCTCTTGTTTTCCTCTATGCATCGCACTTGCCGCCGCACCAGTTTCGGCTTGTGAAACAATAGAGTTTCGGGGGTGTCGTCTCCAGCCTCAGATACCACCACTGCACTTCCATTCCTGGACCTGTTCACTTGTCCTTTCAAATTCAGGAAGAGATATGCCTCATCCGACGTCACGGCAACGCTTTCCCGATGAGCTACACCCTCTCGCCCGCATCTAGCTGGAAAAGGCCGCAGAAAGCTGAGGTATCTCGCTGTGTTGGCAGAAGCATCTTTGATGCTCTACCAACACAACTTTGAGAACGAGCATTGCACTGCTTACCGATGCTCGGACAAGATAGCTGGTTATTTCCAATATATCTGCCACACAACTTGGACCTTCCGTACGAGACCTGTGCCGCGAATAGCTCGAATGGCTGGTGCGATCAGTCCGAATGCAACGCCAGTGGGCCAATCCGTCACTACACCGTAAGATTTGGATCACAGTCTTTCGACTTTGCCGACTTCGTCCTCGCGATCAAGTATTGCAGAGCTGCGGCCTGGCATCGACTGCGCGATGCAGTGGCAACAAGAAGAAGTCTGAGGGTAATGCCTGTTGCATGTTTCCTGTCGTGATAATCACGTTCTAATCGCGTTTGACCATGTAAAGATTTCAAATCTGAAGCCCTCTGGAGGGCCTTTGCACTCCGTTTCTGACTGCCCATTGCAAGAGAAAGTAAACGGGAGCCCGTTTCAGCCGCCTCCTTGTATTCGATTGCTCCCTCCAAGGAATGGGATTCAAGATGCATGTGCCTTGGCCTTGCTTATTATGACAAGACCCCGTCAGTGGGGCGTGGAGGCCGTGGATGGTACGAAGTGGGCAGCTATTTCCAAGATTTGGCGCTCTTTCTTGCTCTTAATGAAGTCCACAAGTGAAATCATTCGTAAGCAGCCCTTTCGGCTGGTTAACATATACCCTCTAAAAGCTTTCGCATCCTGAGCTGGAAGGCTCCGGGTATGCCATGATCTGTGTTACCAAAAAATTTGGACTGTGCTTCAGGACCTCTCTCTGTGTAGGATGGCCATGTATGTAGTAATGTATTCGATGGGACCGAGGTATTGGCCCATTGGCGCTGAAGATATGTTGCTTAACGGCTTGTGTCATCGTCAACTCAAGCCAGTGTAGCCAATGGTGACTCAACGACATGTAAGTAATTTGCGTTACGTTTTGTGCAGATTGAAAGATTGCACGGTCTGGCTGATCATGCACCTTTGGTAGGGAGCCACGGAATCGTTGCCGTTGTCACGACGGGGTCAGAGAGCTGACTAGGCAATACGAATAATAAGCACAACACTACTACTACTACTACTACTACTACGACTACTACGACTATTACGACTACTACGACGACTACTACTACTACCACTATTACTACGACTACTACTACTACTACTACTACTACTACTACTACTACTACTTCTACTTCTACTTCTACTGTGAAGCGCCGCAAACCGGTCTTGCAACAAGGCAAACACGGAGCGGCAGCTGTCTTTTTGCTTCGCGGGCTCACACCGCGTGCGCTCTCTAAGTCCCTAAGGTACCGCGTCGCAGACCGACCACGAATTGCAACTTCTGCGAAGCTACGACTACTCACTAATCAGCCGTGCACACTTGGCACTTAGATACTCAAGTTCTTGAGCCAAAACGTATTGTTTTGGGCAAACATTCCCCTTACACAACATGCAAGAAAGAACTACTGCTGGCAGAGACCTGTGCACATGAAGCACTGACATGTATGTGCGCTCACATTCGCCCCTCAGCCGGGGCTCCCAGGTGTCCCGGACATTAAAGTCCCAGGAGGGTGGGGTGGTTCGCAGGCACACGAAGCGGAAGGGCGGAGCCCTGGCACACACCCAACACGCGCTCCTAAACCAAGCCCTGAGCGTTCAAACGCTCGCACGGAGCTTCAACTTTTCACTCACGCAACGCAGAGAAGAAAACAGAATCCGTTTTGGGGCTCGGGCGGATTTCAACCAAGTAAAACAAGCAGCGGCAAGTGCGAGTGAAGTAGGCAAACCACCGCAAACATCGATTGTATCTATAACTAGGGGAACAGACAAAGACCGAACATAGTGGCAAAACAGTCGGCAAGAAGGCTGGCATGCATCATGGGGGGTGTGACCCTTTTTGCTATTACTGTTGCAACCCCTGTTAATATTAATACAACTGTTACGCGGCTAGTACCACAACTACTGCTATGATTATGATTATGACTATGACGCTGTTTCTATGACCACCACCAGTACTAGAGCTACTACTACACAGTTCTCCTGCTACCGCTGCAACCACTCCCACTGCATCCTAAAGCTGCCACTTAAATGCTACAGGGGCAAACTGCTGGTGCTGTTCAAACGGTCGAGTGCAGGTGGCTTGTCCTAGACTTAGCCTGTCTTGCTGTATTGTCTGGATCAGCTGCCTCCTCCCCCCTGCAATGCCTTTACGGCTGCGTTTTCTTGCTTGCGGACTGCCTTGCTTTCCCTCCAAACTATGCGACAAAGCATAGAGTCATTGCGGTTTGGCTGCCTGGGGGTGCCCAACAAGCAGTGAAATGATTGTCTGGTGGTTGCACCGCTGGCAGGTATGTTCACAAAGCCCTGGTGGTCTGTCGTCAGAATATGTTGTGCGTGCACAGGTGGCAGTCAGACAGAGCAAAGGAAAAAAGGCGCCTGCTGCACAGCCTCCGATGCCGGCTCCGTCATGACTCCGTCAGGCACGCAAGAGATAGACTGGATTCGGAAAGGCACGCAAGAGATAGACTGGATTCGGAAAGGAATGTTCTTATGATGTCGGCTACATGTGGAGATGCCTGAACACATGGGATTCTGCAGATTCTCTTGTTGGCTCTATGCAGCCTGCCAGCTAGCCGATGAAACAGCGCTCAACATGTCAGTCGAGATTGACAGAAGCAAAACGAAAGTACCTCAGTGCTGTTGCTTGGAAGGTCTGCTGCGACGGCGACGCCGGCATTGGCGGCAGCAGCAGCGAGAACGACTAAGGCATGCACATGCACCAACACAACCAAAGTCACCGCCACCAGAGCCACTACTAACACCACCGTCACAACCACTACGACCATCGGCAGCACAACAAGTAAGAAAACATGCCGCAACCACCATCACCACCATCGCTCCCGCCGCAACCACCGCCGCCACCAGCACCAGCAGAGCTGCATCAAGCATGCCCTGAACTTGTGACATCCATCGCCGCTTCTTTTTGAACAACATCTGCGCACAGAACTACAATCCTCTCGGAGATGTGCAGAAGCGGGGGCAAATCTGTGTCCGCACAACACGCTATTAATTGCACCTCCCGTAGACGAAGTCGTGAACATGCTGCGAAGAAACTGCGGACCAAGAAACAAACCCCAGCAAATCCACGCAGCACTCTGCTTGGCAGGTAGTCCTGAGATTTGCCTGCGGGGCTGCACTGCAGCCATAGCAATGGCAGAACATTTTCCGAAGGGTTGAAACGAAAAGCCGAAGTCTTCGACTGCATGGAGGTGCTCGACGCCGACAGATTCACACACGTGCTCTCCGAAGTTCACTGTTGCTGCGCCTTTAAACAACGACTAAAGCATGAAATCGGCATCAGCCGGCTTGGCACAGCGTGGCGATTATGCACCATCACTGTCATTAGCAACAAGTTTCTGAACCATCAGTGTGTTCGTAGGCCGCTGCGTTCAGAACAGAGAACCCAGGCCGTGTCATGGCAGCGAGGTGACCTTCACATGCAGTTCGCTTAAGATTACCAGGACTGTTGTTAAGAGATCTGAGACCTGGCACAGGCTCCGTTGAAAAAATCGACTTAGGGCGGACGCATCAACCTCCAGAAAGCCTCGGCCAGAGGAGTAGAAACCCCATTAGATGCATCGAAAGACCTCCGTAATGAGGTCATACTCGGCAATGCGTCCCATCCGCATCTCGAAAGTCCGACACCGTCCGCTGCATCTCCTGATGCTGTGCCGTGGCCATGTCAAGTTACCTAACAGTTCGGAAGCTGTATTGGACAGTGATCTTCTCCTTTGATGAACTCATCAATCCCTCGCGCAGTCGAGGCCGCGCACGGACGTACTGATCAAGTTGAAGCTGGAGGTCTTCCTGAATGCGATTGGAATCAAACTGGCAGTTTCGCAAAAACGGACGAATTGGGCGGTGGTGCTGCAAGTCGGAGAACGTCTGCCCCCAAGTCTGTTGAAACAATCATCTGCACAAATCAGCATTAGGGAGCTATGCTGTGCACAGAGCAAATCGCAAACGCAGTTTCAAACACAATCAACCAATAGCCAACAACAAAGTGGTAAGCCGTCCCAAGATTCAATAGCTTGTAGCTGCTGTCGAAGCTTGACCTCGAAAGGAACGAGTCGTTGTGGCAAGTTCTGGCGAGATTTGATTTACATTGGCACGATCATTGTTTCCGAGTTTCTTGATAGAGCGATAGTTTTGGAACGGACGTCAGGTAACATCAAATTATACCGAGTTGTCCATAACAGTGTCAACCTACAACAGCACATGTCTAACATGAAATCGAGGGACGTTCTGCTGTGTCAACGCATACAGATCGACTGATCTTGCAGGACCATGTAGCTGAATGCATCGCTCGGTAAAATCCTTTAAGCTGATGACATTGTCGCCGTCCGCATCCAAGCTCGCGAATAACGTCCATGCGTCAACAGCGCCCATTTCCAGCGACTCAAAGAAGGCCCGCACCGAATCGTCGTTGAAATGCTGCTCGAACTCAGAAATTGTGATCATCCCGAGGCCCAGGTCGTCTATCTTTTGGAAGAGATTCGACACCAAGTCTTTGAATTCTTTCCGGCTCTGCAATAGCGAATGGATGACCATCTCGTGGTCACGCTCGGCAGCCTTGATGGCTGAGTTACAAAATACGCCGGTCATCACCTGTTTTTTCATCGCGGTCGTTTTTTGCTTCATGAAATCGACAACGGCTGGAACTGGGAAAGGCTTTATTCAACTGTACTCTGACTCTTAGCGACCCGGCCCTACATGCCCTACCGGGGCCTACCGCACAACAAGACGAGCAAAAAGAATACAATCTTGCATGCCTTGCATTGAGTCCAAGTGGCATTTAATACTGCGAAACTTATGAATGCAATGTAAAAGTTGAACAGTTGTGCCCAAATGGGGTCAATCGCTGTGAGGCTATCTGCGGCAGTACCCCAATCCATGCCATTCGAAATGGAGCGGAAAAGCGTTGAAATAGAAGAAGGCCTTGATCATCAACTCGACTCAGATGGATTCAAAAGCTTACCACTTTGATACCGAGCAGCATGAACAATACTACTGCACACTACAACGAAAAGTCTGCCATTCTCAAGTGTTCGACATAAGGGGATGGCTCAACCCCTAAGGCCCTAAGATTTTACGCCGCCCAGAGTGGCAAATTCATTCTCATATACAATGCTTCGCGATAGAAACGAAGTTGAGAATTTAAGAACAAACACCGAGGTTAACGAAGAATCGACATGGAACATTAAGTACGCAGATTGCGGCACAAACATGCCAGTGCTTCATGTGCTTCCAACGTGGCTGCAAGGATTGGCAAATGTGTCGACTTGCACAAGGCACTCTGACAAAACAACTCAGATACATGCGGCACGGCACAAGCCCGGGTTGGGCAATCTGCTTGGTGATTTTATGAGCACAAGACAGAAAGATCTTAAGTCATCGGCAGACATGCAAAGTTGAATTTTTTATGGGTGGAGTTTTATTTCGGTCCTTTTTTTGGGGGGTCCTTTTTTTTTGCCCTCACGTCCTATTATTTACACAC